TAGTTAGGATAGCCTTATGCCTATCCCACGCATGCTTAAACTCCTTTACTGTGTTAACCTCTACCACTTCAGCTGGAAGGCTATTCCATGCATCCACTACCCTCTCAGTAAAGTAATACTTCCTGATATTATTTTTAAACCTTTGTCCCTCTAATTTAAGACTATGTCCTCTTGTTGTGGTAGTTTTTCTTCTTTTAAATATAGTCTCCTCCTTTACTGTGTTGATTCCCTTTATATATTTAAATGTTTCTATCATATCCCCCCTGTCTCGTCTTTCCTCCAAGCTATACATGTTAAGATCCTTTAACCTTTCCTGGTAAGTTTTATCCCGCAATCCATGAACCAGTTTAGTAGCCCTTCTCTGAACTCTCTCTAAGGTATCAATATCCTTCTGAAGATACGGTCTCCAGTACTGTGTACAATACTCCAAGTGAGGTCTCACCAGTGTTCTGTACAATGGCATGAGCACTTCCCTCTTTCTACTGGTAATACCTCTCCCTATACAACCAAGCATTCTGCTAGCATTTCCTGCTACTCTATTACATTGTCTGCCTACCTTTAACTCATCAGAAATAATCACCCCTAAATCCCTTTCCTCATATGTTGAGGTTAGAACTCTATCAAATATTCTGTACTCTGCCCTTGGGTTTTTATGTCCAAGATGCATTATCTTGCACTTATCCACATTAAATGTCAGCTTTCACAACTCTGACCATTTTTCTAGTTTACCTAAATCATTTGTCATTTGGCTTATCCCTCCTGGAACATCAACCCTGTTACATATCTTAGTATGATCAGCAAAAAGACATACCTTACCATCAAGACCTTCTGCAATATCACTAATAAAAATATTAAAGAGAATGGGTCCAAGTACAGATCCCTGAGGTACCCCACTGGTGACAAGTCCAGGCTTAGAATATATTCCCTATCTCTATCTTATATGTGAGCACACAGTGTTATTTCTATTTACAGTTGCAAGAAAAAAGTATGTGAACCCTTTGGAATGATATGGATTTCTGCACAAATTGGTCATAAAATGTGATCTGATCATCATCTAAGTCACAACAATAGATAATCACAGTCTGCTTAAACTAATAACACACAAAGAATGAAATGTTGCCATGTTTTTATAGAACACACCATGTAAACATTCACAGTGCAGGTGGAAAAAGTATGTGAACCCTTGGATTTAATAACAGGTTGAACCTCCTTTGGCAGCAATAACTTCAACCAAACGTTTCCTGTAGTTGCAGATCAGACGTGCACAACGGTCAGGAGTAATTCTTGACCATTCCTCTTTACAGAACTGTTTCAGTTCAGCAATATTCTTGGGATGTCTGGTGTGAATCGCTTTCTTGAGGTCATGCCACAGCATCTCAATCGGGTTGAGGTCAGGACTCTGACTGGGCCACTTCAGAAGGCGTATTTTCTTCTGTTTAAGCCATTCTGTTGTTGATTTACTTCTATGCTTTGGGTCATTGTTCTGTTGCAACACCCATCTTCTGTTGAGCTTCAGCTGGCGTTAAGATGGAGTTAAGTTCTCCTGCAAAATGTCTTGATAAACTTGGGAATTCATTTTTCCTTCGATGATAGCAATCCGTCCAGGCCCTGATGCAGCAAAGCAGCCCCAAACCATGATGCCCCCACCACCATACTTCACAGTTGGGATGAGGTTTTGATGTTGGTGTGCTGTGCCTTTTTTTCGTCACACATAGTGTTGTGTGTTTCTTCCAAACAACTCAACTTTGATTTCATCTGTCCACAGAATATTTTGCCAGTACTGCTGTGGAACATCCAGGTGCTTTTGTGCAAACTGTAAACGTGCAGCAATGTTTTGTTTGGACAGCAGTGGCTTCCTCTGTGGTATCCTCCCATGAAATCCATTCTTGTTTAGTGTTTTACGTATTGTAGATTCGCTAACAGGGATGTTAGCATTTGCCAGTGACTTTTGTAAGTCTTTAGCTGACACTCTAGGATCCTTCTTCACCTCATTGAGCAGTCTGCGCTGTGCTTTTGCAGTCATCTTTACAGGACGGCCACTCCTAGGGAGAGTAGCAGCAGTGCTGAACTTTCTCCATTTATAGACAATTTGTCTTACCGTGGACTGATGAACAGCAAGGCTTTTGGAGATACTTTTATAACCCTTTCCAGCTTTATGCAAGTAAACAATTCTTAATCGTAGGTCTTCTGAGAGCTCTTTTGTGCGAGGCATCATTCACATCAGGCAATGCTTCTTGTGAAAAGCAAACCCAGAACTGGTGTGTGTTTTTTATAGGGCATGGCAGCTGTAACCAACACCTCCAATCTCATCTCATTGATTGGGCTCTAGTTGGCTGACATCTCACTCTAATTAGCTCTTGGAGATGTCATTAGTCTAGGGGTTCACATACTTTTTCCACCTGCACTGTGACTGTTTACATGGTGTGTTCAATAAAAACATGGCAACATTTCACTCTTTGTGTGTTATTAGTTTAAGCAGACTGTGATTGTTGTGACTTAGATGATGATCAGATCACATTTTATGACCAATTTGTGCAGAAATCCATATCATTTCAAAGGGTTCACATACTTTTTCTTGCAACTGTATTTAATTGAGGCATGTTTAGTACAGGGGCCATTTGTGTTGTAAAGTGTATTTAGATCACATGATTCCCTATTTCCTGTAAAATAAAGAGGTTACTTACCTCTAATTCAGCAATGAGAAGGTCTCTTTGCTAGAGCTTCGCCCAGTACCTGAGAGATCAGGGGTCTCTCAGCAAAAGAGCACTCTCCAAGCAGAAAGAGTGCAACCTAATAATTTTATAAAAGAGACCACTTTCATGAACACATCACACCACAGGTAGACAGTGTCCCCATGAATTATTATCCCGAATAAAATAGGAGGAATTTGGCATTAATACAACATTTTTAAAAAAATTTTTTTACATTGTTTATAATTAAAATTATATTTCTCAAAACCACAATAAACACAGGATGGAAAAACACTAACAAACTAAAACAATTCGTTCAGATATTTTGGTCGTCAAATTAAAAATGCATTTTAAATTCACTTTCTTCCTGACATTACCCTCTTTAGTAAATAACCTTGTACCTGTATATATTTTACTTAATTTGTAAGGCACTATAAAGAATAACATTATGTGCGAACTGTATAATAAATCAAATAAATCTTCTCAAGGTATAATTTTTTTTTTCTGTGAAAATAAAATATTTCTCTCCGAGGCACCTTGCATTTAGTGACCCTATTTTATACTAGACTTGTTGTTCACTGGGCTGGATATGCACATGTCACTTCAATACTTGCATGAGATAGACAAAAAAAATCCATAATATTTTTTATAATCATCTCCAACATAATGATATATTTAAGTGAAACAGATCTTTAAGGCAGAAATTGAATACATTTCTTGGTGGAACGAGAATCTTTACTCATGTGTGGCAACATCTGTGATAATCAGGACTGAAAGAGATGCTTTAACCTCCAGGGCTGACTCAAGCAATAATGATGAAAGGATTTTTTAGTCCTCAAAATGATGGATCAAGAATTTTTTTTGTTTCTCCCCAAAGCTTTGGTCTGGGAGGGGGTGAAATTGCTTTCACTCTGAATTTTGGATAGCGCAGTAAGCAGCAGGTGTGTCTGTGCATCATAAACATGTGTCTCCACTTTTTTTTAAATTTAGGAAGATTCATCCATTACACAACACAGAATTAGTCACCGAAATATGTCGAAAAACAATTGTCGTTGTATCTGTTATACAGAATATGATGTGGTCCAAATTGTAAAAACAAAACGTTCAGGTTACTTGCACATGTCTCACATTGGATCAGTATGGGTTGAAGTGTTAAACTGTGCACACCAACCTCACAGCTAGTATTGAACTACAACGTCCACGATTCTCTTCACACCTGTAGCTATCAGAAAATGATGGTTGTTGTAGTCCATCAACATCTGCGAAGTGTGCTTAGTTGTTTCTTTAGGAAATAGTACGTTTTAAAAAAACGTTTTTTTTTTAAATGTAGCCAAAAATAACTGACTTCCACATATTTAAACTCATTTGTTAACGTATCACAAAGCCTGATTTAGTGGACTTAGTATCAGAACCATTTTTTTATACTGAGAATATCAGGGATGCATGGATGCATATTAAAATCCAAAGTGAGCACCTCTTATTCTAGAAGGGTTTTTTTAATAACATTTTTTTTTTTTTTTAAATCAATTACTGCTCTTTTTTCTGTATTATTAATATTTTGGTCACCTTTTTATTTATAAAGCTCTACTTTATTCAACATTTAATAGAGTATATAAAATGTATTACAGGCTCAGCGTGAGAGACACACTATTACTCGATTATTGATGATTTAAAAACATGTTCTGCAGCACTGGATAATGAACGGAAACAACATGAGTATAACGGCTGTTCCATGTTCCAAGTAAGTGCTGAAAAAGAGAGGATAGCTGTGCTCATAGGAGCTTGCTCTCTATAGCAGATAAATACAGCAATACATTGTCTGATGCCTAATTATAAGTACCTAAAGCAGGACATGAATCCCCAAACAGTGGAATAGCATTATATATTTAGATCTTGAGCTTCCCATAAATCATACTCCTCAGCCATTTTATGGAAAGGCCACCCAATAGCCTGTATCATTTGCCTTTTTAAAGCTGCACCCACAAATTTTAATAAATAATCCTTTAGCATGAGACCCTCCAATGCTTGCCTATGTATTGAACTTACATAGCTTTGTTTGGACTTTTAATAAAAGTATTTCACGTATTTACACCCCAACCTATATGTGATTAGACCCCCAACTTTATTAAAGACATTTCTGGTAACACAATTCTAAATATTATTGAATAACCATACCTGTGTAATATAGGAATTAACTTACCGTATATACTCGAGTATAAGCCGACCCGAATATAAGCCGAGGCCCCTAATTTTACCCCAAAATACTGGGAAAACTTATTGACTCGAGTATAAGACTAGGGTGGGAAATGCAGCTACTGGTAAATTTCTAAATAAAATTAGATCCTAAAAAAATTATATTAATTGAATATTTATTTACGGTGTGTGTATATAATGAATGCAGTGTGTGTGTGTGTGTGAGTGCAGTGTGTGTGTGAGTGCAGTGTGTGTTTGAGTGCAGTGTGTGAGTGCAGTGTGTGTGTGCAGTGTGTGTGTGTATGAGTGCAGTGTGTGAGTGCAGTGTGTGTGTGTGTGAGTGCAGTGTGTGAGTGCAGTGTGTGTGTATGAGTGCAGTGTGTGTGTGTATGAGTGCAGTGTGTGTGTGCAGTGTGTGTGTGTATGAGTGCAGTGTGTGTGTGAATGAGTGCAGTGTGTGTGTGTATGAGTGCAGTGTGTGTGTGTGAGTGCAGTGTGTGTGTGTATGAGTGCAGTGTGTGTGTGTGTGTTGCAGAGCCTTGGTGGGGGGTGGGAATTTTTATTATTATTTTTATTAAATTATTTTAATAATTTTTTTGTTTTATAAATATTTTGTTATTATTTTATTATGATTTTTCTTAAATTATTTTAATAATTTTTTTGTTTTATTAATATTTTGTTATTATTTTTTATGTTATTATTATTTTTAATATTATTTTATTATTTATTTATTTTTTCGTCCCCCCTCCCTGCTTGTTAGCTGGCTGGGGAGGGGGGCTCTCAATCCCTGGTGGTCCAGTGGCATTGGCAGTTCAGTGGGGGGAGGAGGGGGCTGGCAGAGCTGTTACTTACCTCTCCTGCAGCTCCTGTCAGCTCCCTTCTCCTCCGCGCTGGTCTGTTCAGCTCCTCTCTCAGCTCACACTGTATGTCTCGCGAGAGCCGCACTATGACCCCGCGGCTCTCGCGAGACTTACACTGGGAGCTGACCGAGGCGCTGCACGGACCGGCGCGGAGGAGGAGAGAGCTGACAGGAGCTGCAGGAGAGGTAAGTTGCAGCTCTGCCAGCCCCCAGTCTGTATTATGGCAATGTAAATTGCCATAATACAGACAGTGACTCGAGTATAAGCCGAGTTGGGGTTTTTCAGCACAAAAAATGTGCCGAAAAACTCGGCTTATACTCGAGTATATACGGTAGTTTTATGTATTTTTAAATTAATACTGAATAAACACCATAATAAGTTAGTATACACCATGTTATTGAATAAATGCTTTTGTATGTTATGGTAACTGGGTCCTGATAAGTGCAGAGTCCTTACTGACGAGAGCAGAAGAAAGGTCACAGGTCAAATTAGATGAAACAAAAACAAGGATCCTTTTACATTCTGGACCTTTAAATGCTGCTGGGAAATTACCTTGCTTGGCCGAGCAGGTTCAGCTACTTGCTTATCAGGAAAGGATACATAAAAGCGGTACAAACAGCTCAACAATATATTATCAAGAAAAGTAACTTGTTTTGGATTTTAAAGGTAAAGCGTAGACTTACTCGATTATGTCTTTTACAATCATATTCTGCTAAGACGTAGCTCTCCATCACATCACTGATACTAAACACATGTCTTAAATACAACGTGAAGTGTACTAACACTTTAGCCAAAAAGCTAGAGGCACCCATTAATTTTACGTAGCTGTTGTTTCCATGCAATTCCAAAAATTCTGTGCCAACTATAGGCAATGGGAAATATGGTCAAGGAAACATAGAAACATAGAAACATAGAAACATAGAATGTGACGGCAGATAAGAACCATTCGGTCCATCTAGTCTGCCCAATTTTCTAAAAACTTTCATTAGTCCCTAGCCTTATCTTATAGTTAGGATAGCCTTATGCCTATCCCACGCATGCTTAAACTCCTTTACTGTGGTAACCTCTACCACTTCAGCTGGAAGGCTATTCCATGCATCCACTACCCTCTCAGTAAAGTAATACTTCCTGATATTATTTTAAACCTTTGTCCCTCTAATTTAAGACTATGTCCTCTTGTTGTGGTAGTTTTTCTTCTTTTAAATATAGTCTCCTCCTTTACTGTGTTGATTCCCTTTATATATTTAAATGTTTCTATCATATCCCCCCTGTCTCGTCTTTCCTCCAAGCTATACATGTTAAGATCCTTTAACCTTTCCTGGTAAGTTTTATCCCGCAATCCATGAACCAGTTTAGTAGCCCTTCTCTGAACCCTCTCTAAGGTATCAATATCCTTCTGAAGATACGGTCTCCAGTACTGTGTACAATACTCCAAGTGAGGTCTCACCAGTGTTCTGTACAATGGCATGAGCACTTCCCTCTTTCTACTGCTAATACCTCTCCCTATACAACCAAGCATTCTGCTAGCATTTCCTGCTGCTCTATTACATTGTCTGCCTACCTTTAAGTCATCAGAAATAATCACCCCTAAATCCCTTTCCTCATATGTTGAGGTTAGAACTCTATCAAATATTCTGTACTCTGCCCTTGGGTTTTTACGTCCAAGATGCATTATCTTGCACTTATCCACATTAAATGTCAGTTGCCACAATTCTGACCATTTTTCTAGTTTACCTAAATCATTTGTCATTTGGCTTATCCCTCCTGGAACATCAACCCTGTTACATATCTTAGTATCATCAGCAAAAGACATACCTTACCATCAAGACCTTCTGCAATATCACTAATAAAAATATTAAAGAGAATGGGTCCAAGTACAGATCCCTGAGGTACCCCACTGGTGACAAGTCCAAGCTTCGAATATATTCCATTAACTACAACCCTCTGTTGCCTGTCACTCAGCCACTGCCTTACCCATTCAACAATATTTGAATCCAAACTTAAAGATTGCAGTTTATTGATAAGCCTTCTATGTGCAACAGTGTCAAAAGCCTTACTGAAATCTAGGTAAGCAATGTCTACTGCACCACCCTGATCTATAATTTTAGTTACCCAATCAAAAAAATCAATAAGATTAGTTTGGCATGATCTCCCTGAAGTAAACCCATGTTGTCTCTGATCTTGAAATCCATGTGTTTTTAGATGTTCATCAATCCTATCCTTTAACATGGTTTCCATCACTTTCCCCACTACTGAAGTAAGGCTTACTGGCCTATAGTTGCCTGACTCCTCCCTATTACCTTTCTTGTAAATGGGCACAACATTCGCTAACTTCCAATCTTCTGGGACTGGAATGGCTGAAATGTAGAGTTTAGAGACTTTTGCCATAAGAGGTGCTGGGAGATCACTCAAGGTTAAATGACTTGATGACCACAATGAGAACGTTAAGCCTTCTTTAGCAGATAAAGTTTCACAAATTGTCTGTCCTTGGATATAACACTGGTCCAGTAGATGATTTTTAGAGTTCCCAATCTTTCACATAAAACCATCATCGCAAGAGTGTTTGTGGATTTCACTGCCTCGCTTTAAACATACAATACATTTTGTAGCTTGGAAGAACTGTTCTGTATACAAATGATAAAATTAAATTGAGCTGCAATTATTAACAGATTTGATCACTAAGGAATACGATGGCACACGTACCATTGATATAAAATTAAGCATTATCATCACCATATGAACTCAGCGTAGCACTGTAGCTAAACAAAGACAAATCCCTTAGCAATTTGGGCATTACTAAGTTGTAGAGTGTGAATGGACGTTAGCAGAAGCATTCAGCAGAAACTTGTTCTCATGCAGACATACCAATTATTTTACTACAGGTTCAAAACAATCCTGTATTTTTGCCAGATAATTGTGGTTCCTGTGACTATCTAATCAAGCTTGTTCCTGTTCCTGTTGCTGAATTTGGACCGTCTGACATTGCTGCTTCTCCGTCCCACTGACCTCGGCTTACTTTACTACATTACCATCTTTCTGTCCCAGTTTCTCATCTCTGCTTAAGACCAGACTGCCACTCAATGCGTAGGGGCTGAACCACCTGGTTAACAAGTGGCTACTTCTGGCAGAACTGGTTGCTGGGCTCCAAACCCTGTATAACATTAGTATCATTGCAGTTTGTGTCTGTCTGTCTGTACATCTGTGTGTATATCTGAATGTGTCACTGTGTGCATCAGTGTGTCTGTATCTTTATGTGTCAGTGTTTGTATCTGTGTATCTGCATGTGTCAGTGTGTGTATCTGTTTGTGTCTGTGCAACTGTATTTGTGTTTGTGTTTGTATCAGTGTGCCTGTGCATCTGCATGTGTATCAGTCCTTTTTTGTGTCAGTGGTAGTATCTGTGTCTTTTTGTGTGATTTTCTTTCCTATCTGTATGTATGTCGGTATTTGTATCTGTGTGTCTGTGCATCTGCATGTGTGTCAGTGTCTTTATCGCTGTGTCAGTGTTTGTATCTGTGCATCTGCACATGTGTGATTGTGTATCTGCATGTGTGTCTGTGTGTGTTTGTGTATCTGCATGTGTGTCAGTGCAATGTCTCTGCACTGTGCACTGTGAGAGACTGTTTAGGCCAATGAAGAAAATATATCTACATGATGCCTATAAAAATATATATATATATGATGGCTTGACTGGTGTGCAGATTTTTGTTTAACATTGTATTAACTATCCACAGACTTCAAGTCGAAGGGGTTTTCAACCACAATTATTCCCCACTTTTTGGTTTTTGCATATAGAGAGAGAGAAAGAGAGAAAGAGAGAGAGAGAAAGAGAGAGAGGCAAAAACTAAATATATATATATATATATATATATATATATATATATATATATATATTCTCAGAAACACCACAGATCATATAAGTATTGTTAGTCTTCCAGAAAAAGGTAAAAGCATACTAGAAGGGTTCATGCAAGTTCAAATATTTCTTTCATTGTCCTGTTTGATAGCTGCATCACTGTTTTGACCACACTTAACCTTCCCCATAGGAAAAATGTTAAACATGTGAACCTACAAGTGTCAAATGCATGCTTTCATCTTTTTTTGTTGGACTGCAGAATCACCAATTTCAGAGCAAAAAACAAAGCCAAGCGTGACAAAGTTTCACGTTCCACATCTCCTCTTATAGAGGGGAACAGCTATCAGGACATAAAATAGCCAGTGATGTAAACACTTTAAAAATGGGGCACTGCATATTTTTCCCCTGTACAAATAACATCTCCAGAACAATGACATGGGCATATTCATCCTTTTTGGCACACATCAAAAACCTCCCCCAAATAACTCATAAAGACACAGACAGCAAATATTACTTGGGAAAATCATTTCACATCTGTAATTAAATATTTATAAAGCAAGAAAGACCATTGTCAAACATACGATTAACATTGCCACGTAAATTCTTCCAACCCCTTAACAGCACTATACCCACTGACAATGACCCAAACAATATATAATAGCAATCAATAATTATAAAATATAACAAAACAATA